TTATGTTTCTTGGACCTTGTATACTACTGGAAGGTTTAAATTGTGAGCGAGAGTGTATTCAAAGAGTGAGATAGAATGTCTGGGAGAGAAAGAAATGGAGAGAGGGTGAATGTAGGTGAAGAGAGGGAGATGATGATGAACGCATTATTTATCAATCACTCAAGATTTCGTCGCAAGGGCCGTTCTTATCATCTAATGCAAAATACAATAGTTACTGAGTTACCTCGAAGTACTTCGAACAACCTGATTTTTGCGGTCAATATATTAAATCTATTCGTTTTTCATTGAACTACTACAACTAACTATGTATTTACTTGAATTGCCTACTGAAATAAATATTCTAATTTACAGAATAATTGATTTACAGAATAATAAGAGTGAGAGAGAGAGAGAGAGAGAGAGAGAGAGAGAGAGAATACTTTATTATGGGAGTTCACAGCATCAGTTTACAAATCTGGCACCTCAAAATGACGGCTTGACGTTAACTTATAATGAAATAAATCATATGTATAATATAACCATAGAAATAATGGTATTAATATGAAGAATTTAGAGAAAACTTATTAAAAAATAATTCCCTGTCTTGTGCTAACATACTCACAAAATGCGAACTTACAAGTTGAGAAAAGGAAGGAAAAAAGCTTTCTTATGTAACAAAATTAACTAACAATATTGTTAGACTTCCGGAGATTTGTGGCTCGAGCTAGGAATAACAGCTCACATGTGGAGGTTTTATGGCGAGGAAGATATAGGTCATTGAGAAACCGGAGAAAAAATGCGGGTGTTAAGAGAGTGGATAGAAGATTTAGATTGAAATAATTTAAAAATATAGTGAGGTCGTCAAGAGTTTATGGATTGGTAAAGGAAGGAGCCTTGGAATTATTTCTTTTGGAAGGAGGGATAAAGCCAGGATAGGTCTAAATACAGGTCTGAGACACTGGTCATTGGTGGGGGGGGGGTGCCGAAAATAAAGTATTTTTAGACAGACGCTTTTCTTTTTCCTCCGAATGTCCACCACAAGCTGCACAACTGTTGTCGAAGAGGGGAAAGATGAGGGAGACAACGAGTTTTGAAGGGTCGGAAGGTAGAAGGAACCAGGATTGACGGAAGTGAATGAGTGGTGCAGAACAGCATTTGGAAAATGTGTGGTCTCCAGGAAAAATGGTCAAAGGTTACACCGAGGGTTTTACAATGGAACAGAAGGAAATGGTCTGGCTGTTGAATGTGAAAAGAGGTATGAGGGATGAGGGATGGATTGGAAAATGTGACTGGATTCTAGAACAAAGACTTTGGACTTCGTAGGATTTAATTCTAGTTATTTTTTTGTGCCCATTCGTCTATGGAATTCAGATCTTCCTCAATTCTGAGGATATCCAAATGTAGTTCGGTGGGATGGAAGGACTTACGCATTTGTGAGTCGGCGGCGTAGAGTTCTAATCGCAATGCTGAATGAAGTCGGGGATATCATTGGTGTAAATGATGAACACAAAAGGGGACGTGCTAGAGCCTTGAGGAACATGAAGTTGATGGAAGGAAGGAGGTTGTTTCACCATTAAGAATAGTTACTGACTGAAAGCGACAGGTAAGAAAAGAAGAGAAAAAGAATCCGATAGTATTGTCGAAAAAGAGAAAAGAGAAAAAGTTTGGACAGGATTCATGAATGATGGTTGGAATCGAAGTCTTTAGTAAAGTCAAGGAGAATTAGTATGGTATTTTTTGATGGCCCATGGAGGCGTGTAGGTCACTAGTAATTTTAACTAAGACGGATTGGGTGGAGAAACAATGTCGGAAGCCGGATTCGATAGGGTTAAGAAGATGGAAACTTTTTGGATAATTGGTGTCTTTTCAGGGGGTTTGGACAGGTTAAATAGGATTGATATGGGATGGTAATCGTCAGAAGATTAGGTTGAGAATTTTTTTGAAGGGGTGCACAATTTTTCTAGGATAAAGGAGGTTTTTAGAGGGAGTAGTTGTAGATATGTAGTAGGGCCAGTCGGATAACTGGGAGGCATAGTTGTAAACATTCGCCCGAGATGCGGTCAGCCCCTTGGTATGGGCTTTTGATCTTGCGTTAACAACATCAGCTGCGGTTTGATAAGATAACGTAAAGTGTAATGAATTGATCGGTGGCCTAGTGGTAAATTTACCGATTTAGAGGTAGAAGAGGAAGAAACAAAATGGGAGTGAAGTTTATCGTGAGTGACTGGTTAAGAAGAGGATGAGTTAGTATTGACATACACCAAGTTTTCGAAGGAGGTTCCACTTTGATCTAGCATTAGGTCTGCTGTTGAGAGCATCATGGTAATATTGCGCTTTGGCACTCCGAATGCTGAATTGTGTTTTGTTGCGTAAGGTTCGAAAGGAGGAATAGTCGTGAAAAAACTTACTGCGCCGAAAGCGCCTTTTCGCAGCCTCACGACTTTTTATAAGCATTTGGATTGCTGGTTCATCTAAGGAGCAACGGATTGTACAAGTTTTTATAAGAGCATACTTATCGTCGTATAACTGGTAATAATATTTCCAAATGGAAATATTACTTTAGGGATGAGTATCGACCCCATAAACATCGATATTTGATATCGGTTAGAATGGAATCCGTGGCAAAAAACATCGGTGCTAAAATATCGATGTTTGGCATCCACTCGGACACCAACCTCCTATCTCAACCCCACCTTTTGAGTTTTCCCTCCTTTTTGCCATTTTTGTTGGTGTCCGAGTGGATCGAGATCACGATAGCTCAAGTGGTAGAGCAGCGGCGTATCTAGCCGAAGATCGTGGGTTCGAATCCCGTTCTTGCCATTGACTTTTTTATCTTAACTAAAAACCTTAATTAATTGTAATATATTAATTGGTCAAGCAGATCACGAAATTAGTGAATTGAATGAATTGTTGTATTTATTATTACTCGAAAAGCCAGTGAATATTTTTTATTGGGTTGTCCGGAAAATAATGCAGGATTTTGGTATTAAACAAAAAAAAAGAAACTAGTTACTTTAAAGCAATGTTCTTTAATCAAAATANAATGAGTAATCCTGTAAACGTAAACAGAATATTTTATATAGATTTTTTTTAATGAAAACTTAAAATCCTGCATTATTTTCCGGACAACCCAATATTTTCCGAGGAGGCTATAGGAAATAAACTTATGTACGTAAAAAAATCTTAAATCCAAAACTAAAAACACAGCGAGGATTACGAATAACACACTAGTATTAACTGTCTAAAGTACAATCATCAACTGAAACTTTAAAATGAAAAACAATGAACAGAAAAAGTAAAAAAAACCTTTTCCACACTCCCTAGACACTAATTCTTTACGGTCTTCCTTCTATTAATTTTAATGAACATCGATGAAGACTTGGCTGCGTTAATCATGTATTTTCAAGCCATATAAATCGGAAGTAATCATCAATGTTAATTGTATTTAATATAGTAAAGCTACAGAATTTTTAAAATTTATAATGATATTGTTTGAGGGGGTCATCGATGAATCGGGCTAAAACATCATGTTATACAAACATAGGATGGTTGGCCATCGATGATAAAATCATTTCATAAACATCGATACTCGATTCTCATCCTTAGGGGGGATAAGAAGTAGGCCAAAGATTCGATGGATGAACCGTGATAAACGAAGTCCCAGTTATTCAAATATATTTTTAGTTTTTGTACATAAGACCAACTTATGCTCCCCCATAGGTCAAATAAGGATAAAAAGAACAATTCACAGTTGTTCAAAGTCCCCTTAATGTGCCCAATGTCCTTAATGCGTCAAATATTTCTACAAAAATTTACATAATTTACATGCTAAATAGAGCAGCCTTATCAACATAAAACATAAACATGACAGGCTGAAGCACAACTACCTTCAATAATAATTTAATTTTTGTTAGTTTTTTCTTTGTATCTCTAACTTTAAAAATTGTTTTATTATACCACACTGTAATGACGATAAATTTTATGTTTGATGATGATGGTTACTAGGAAGTGGGGATTTTTGTTCCCCAAGCACTGCAGCCTTCTTGTTTACTTTCCTAGTTCCGTAGTTTAGTGCAAATGACTCGATCCGTCCCTTAAGAAGTACTAGGTCATTGACTGTCGTTACAACAATTTCTTTCCCCGGGTATTCTTTGTGTCTCAGATTATGTCTCTATGGAGCGGTTAACTTCGCATTCGAAGATATGGGTGGCTATTTCGTCCTCCTCATTCCATAACGTACAAAAGGGATCATCATTGAATGTACACTTGTTATGTAGATGTTTTTTCAGATGCCAGTGACCGGTAAACACCTATCACTCCTCTGAGTTTAGCCCTCTCTAACTGTTTGCCAGTCTTGGTGAGGTTTCTTTTAGCGTAAGCTTACTGTGCCTAGCCCCTCTAGAATTTCCACTTCTCCTTTTGTCCTTTTTTGGGATCTATTCTGTGATGAAGGTTAGATTCTCGTACAAACACCAGGATGATGGGTAACGCCCAAGTTTTACATTTTGCATACTTATTCTAATGCATACTTACAATAGTTCCAACACTTCACAGTTATGAAGTGAAGGAAAAAGAAAAACATTTATTAACTTTACTTTTGTGTGAAATTTTCTTTTATTTGATTTGATGAATACATTTCAACCCCAAACTCCTAGGAACAGCTCATCTATAATTTTTAACAATTAATAAAAATTCATGTAATGCCGTGCGTAAAACATTTAGTATATTTTTTCATTAAAATTGTAAACATCCTTACTGAAATGTAACAGCGTCTTCGTGCTAAATCATATTTATTTGATGTTCCGCTCGGTATCGATTGTTCAACCGACTTCCTCTCCTTGTTTGAAGGCTTGCGTCATTTGGTGGCTGTCAATTCCGCGGAAATATTTGACATGCCGCATACCTCCTCGTGTGAAGCCACATACTAAGCCAAATATCTGCACATTCACCATTCAACAAGGAAATCGTGTTGCAGCCTTCCTTCTACAGGCTCAATCCACCGACCTTGCCACTGTTTAAGGCCGCCCCTTCCCTTCTTTTCTAATCACTTTCCTATTGCAGCAACCGTCAGTCGTTGTGGACAGAGTTTGGTAGAAGCAGCCTAAATCAAGTGAGTAGATGTAATTTTTATTTTTTAAATTCGAAAGATAAAATTGTCCCGTAGATTGAATTTCGGCTAACAAAACAAGTTTGACAACTAAATTTCGGAACACGTCTTAATCCAGAAAATCAACACGCATAAGTTTGATATCATTTTTAATAAAAGGCCATTGGTATGTTCTATCCCTTAAAAAAACCTCACCATTTTCTGTAAAAAAACAAACAAATGTACTAACAAATACAAATTAGTTAAAAAACAAAAGATAAAGAGTAGTGAAATCCGTATGAAACCTATAAAGATAAACACTATTAAAATTCAAGCATAATGCCCTCAACCAAATTATGAATAAGACTGCACTGTCATTAATATTCCCAATCCCAAATATTTTTAAAATTTAGTCTCGTCTAATGCTAAGAAAATACAAAAATAAATTGTCAGTTTCAACTGGATTTCATAAAGCAAAAGAATCCCATCTACCATCACAGCGCGTAACGATCCTTTTTAAAAAAGATATATATAAAAAATTGTTTTGATCAAATTGACATAATCAGATCGTCATTAAAAATAATGATTATTTGGAGTTCGTAAGATGCGGTCTGGTGTGACGTAGGTTCAGGAAAACATTTTTTTTTTAATCGTGCCAACGTTTCGATCTTTATTGAGATCATCTTCAGTGCCTGGGATTTATAAACATTGTTTAAATTATACAACCACATGTAGCATTTCTAGCGTTGTATAAATTCATTTTTTCACATCCTACATGTATTTGTATAATTTAAACAATGTTTATAAATCCAAGGCCCTGAAGATGATCTCAATAAAGATTGGAATGTTGGCACGATAAAGAAAATGTTTTTCTAAAACCTACGTCACACCAGACCGCATCTCACGATCTCCAAATAATAATTAATTAACGGTCACTAAAGTCCGCACATTAAAAATAATAATTAAATTGTCACTTGAAAAAACAAGAATTTCGAGAATATAGCTTACCAAATCCTTGCCAAAAACATAAAAACACTGTTGCTAATTAAATAATGGAAGAAATTGAATCAATTTCTGCTATAACCAAATCTAATATTGAACAAATAATAACAAAAAACACAGGATTAAGGTTGGAATAGGCAATAATACAAATACAAAGAAACAATAATAACCCATGTCAAAATTTATGATAAATCTTATTAATCTGTTAAAGAAATATTTATGATAATTATTTAAAAAATAATTACTTAAATCATGAACAAGTTTACAAATTGGAAATCAACCGGAAAATACAAAACGATCAGAAATGAAACTATTGAAATATACGTGTGAACATTAAATTTGAATTTAGTGTATTTGTTTGTTAACTAATTAGAAGGTTCAACATAAAAAATTAATTTATTAATTAAATATTCTTTTATTTTAAATATTTTTCCGTTTAGAAAAGACAAGATATCAAAGCTATTATACTGGCATATACTATAATTTTAAATTAATAGATGGATTAAAATAAACATCCACCCTATTATGGAGGAAATAATATTGTCATGATGATAAAAAAAATATTGTTCATGGGTAGTGGGAGATGAACCGGTCCAGACGCGATTGATTCTCTGGAAAAGCAATTATGCCAAAACGTATTTGACCGTTAACAGCGAAATAAGCGGACGCAGATTTGATGGGTAATGATTAGTTGCTTCGGATCTATTTCAGTTATGTTTTGTTTTTAATGTTTAAACAATATAAATTGTTTATCGCAGAAAAAGCGGATATCAGTTTTGATCCCAAGGTTATAATTTTCATTTCTTACGATATTCGTAGCGTGTGAAGGACACATAATTGTTCCAATGTCAATGAGGGCATTTAACTGGATCAAACTCGATTAATGAAAAGCTGGATTTTGGAATTTAAAAACGGTCTGTCTTTTATTTAGTACGATTTTTTAAAATCTTTTTTTATTTCTATTGCAAATCTAGTTTGATTAAAGACACACCACCAGCTGAAATTAAAGTCGGAAGCAATTGGCTTTTTTTCCATTGTCCAACTTTTTTGGCAGATATGTGGGAATGTCTCGATTCAATGATCTCGAACGTCCAAATCATAGCCGAAACATAATCCAAAGAAACGTTTAAACATATGATCCAATACCCCGTAATTTCCCAGAGTAATACAGCCTGAACGGAGAAAGTTTTCAATGAAATGATTCAACATGGTTACTGAAACTTAGATCGAGTTGATTTTTATTGTCGAAAATATCATAAAAATATTATTGAACTTCTAATAAATTAGATGTAAACTTTGCTGTGAAACAGTAAAAAAATCTGCCAATGGTGGGCGGGGGGAAGTACGGCCTTCGTACATGCGCATGCACATATGATTGGAATAAAATTCATAAGGAATCATCTATAAATTAACCCCTCACAATCTCTGACAATTTCATAAAAATTGGTCTCATGGCTTCATAGTTTTGTCAGTTTACAGGAATTGACTACCATTGAACAGACAGATAGACACGGAACCAAATTTTTTCGGAAAGGTCTGAAACACAAAACGCGAGTGAAAATTTTGGTTTTGGAGTACAAACATTTTTTCTACTTCCCGCATGAATTCAAGGACTTCCCTATTTAACTCGGAAAAAATATTTATGCAGTAGATTTTTAAACTGTTTACATTCCCATGGATTGCATCACTCCCAACTGCATATCGTAGGCAATTGAAAATATTCAGGCCGGGACTGACCAAACTGGTTTTCTAAAATGATTGTCCAAGCTTAGCGAAGTTAATTTTAACCCCATTTCACATCGTAGTACTTGGAAATCGATAAAAACATTACATCAAAATTGAATTAATTTTAAATTTAAATTACAAAAAATTTACCAAACAGAATTATCTCTGCTATACGTTTATAAAAAAATTCAAATGGAACTGGGATATGATAAAAAATGATTTATTTTAAAAATACAAACATAGCCTATATTAAGGAAGAAAAAAATGATCTACCGACGAAAGTACAAAAAACCAATGAAAATAATTTAATGTAAAGTTTTAAAAAATAAGTTTTAATAATTAGATAATAGTACGGAGTTGTAAACATATTTCAAAAATTTCCCATCAGGCATGGCAATACCAGCACGATTTACGGAATTTAACTGGAAAAAGCTGATTGATTAAGATACCCGAAATGGATTAATAATGTTGAAATAATAATCAGTAATGTATAAATAATAAAATACGGATTTAATAAGAAACGGACGACGTCCGACAGATGTACTTCCATATCGTAAAATACATTTGTTTTCAACTAACTCTTTTTTTTCTTTGTTAAAATTGGTTTGTATCTTTTTTAATTTAGTTTTATATATATAGTTTAACTTCAAGTTTTATTTTAAGTTTGATGATTGGAGGTATGGGTTAGTAGAAAGTATAAATGGAGTTTTTTTCTTCTGGTAATTAGATCATATCTTAAGGTGCAAATTTCTACTAAAATAATACTAAAAAAAATCATGTGCAACTGAAAACCCAAATACGAAAAAACCGAGTATCCATGATATTTTTTAATTATAATTGAAAATTATAATTAGTTTATAACTATTTTTTTATTAGAAACGTTAATCCAACCACGTTTTATATTGTTTTTATTAATTAGAATCGATTTCATAAGGCGCATTCCTGCCTTTCCAGTCTTCGGCCAATTATAAGTTACAATTTTTTTAATTGGTTACGAAAATGCTTTGTTATATTAACTAGTAACTGACTGAAAAGGATCGACCTGCAATTTATGACTTTGTTGAAGTATCGGAAGAAGATTAATTAGAAACAGTAATTGAATTAAAAAAAAATGAATATCGGAGACTGGAAAGTAAATCAATAAAAAACAATAAAAAGTATTTGTATTAGTGTTGCCTTTACATAAACGGTAATTAAGAAATAAAATAAACGAAAACTGTAAAAGAGGAAAACAGTATAAAATTTATAATAGCTAATTATATTTGAGTTAAATAAGAGATAATATAATTATTAACTTCAACTCTGGGATATATTAAAATTACAACTTAACTATATAGCACAATAATCGGTTTCGTCAGAATGGAATTATTCAAATATATACATTTGAATTTCCTTCAAATGTAGTAAGACTTGTCCTTCTGTGTAAAATGTACCGAGACAATTGTTTTTGACCTAATTTTTAATTAATCAAAAGCCTAAACTCCCAATTAAATACGACGACCTTAAGATAATGAATGACTCACGTAATCAATTGTAACTGTTGTCTCTCAAAAGTTTAAACCTGGGAAAACTGTTTGCGAAGTACTCGATACCAGTGCGTTTAATCCATATCAAGGGAAGCCAAACGTATTTACTAATTTTGGTGCTCTTTGTTAAATAAGTACATTAGTTTTTTTTAAATAAATATTATTTCCTATTCAGAGATTAACTTTCTATTACTGGGTGCCAAAATATGATTTTTAGTTATTAGACATGAATTTTTACATTACCACTATAAAATAAATTAAATTATATTATAATGAAAGGAATTCCAAACTCTGACAGAAGGCTATGCTTAAAATTTATTGTAAATATATTGTAAATTGTTACATATATTTAATAATAAATGTATTGGTGTTGTTGTTGATCTTCTTCTTCCGTAGTAAGTTTATAAGTAGGAGTTTGTGTAAATAATAAATAGGTAATTACAAAATATCAATAGTTCTGTAATATCGTTTTGATTTAATTAGAAAAAGAGGGAAGAAAAGAGAGCGAGTGAGTGAGTGAGTGAGAGAGAGAGAGAGAGAGAGAGAGAGAGAGAGAGAGAGAGAGAGAGTGAGACAGACAGACAGACGGGACTGAGAAAAAGGTGATAAAGACAGAGAGAGAAGGAGTGAGAGAGTGAGAGAAAGCGAAGAAGAGAAGGGGAGAGAGAGTGAGTGTCACAAACGGTAATTATTGTAAACATTTTTTAAAATTAGGGCTTACGGTAATTAGGTCTTTTTCATTTAGCAACCAAACAGTGACCAACTTAGTTC